TGTACGTTAGTACGTAGTACGTTGTCGTGTGTGTCGTGTGTGTGTGTGTGTGTGTGTGTGTGTGTGTGTGTGTGTGTGTGTGTGTGTGTGTGTGTGTGTGTGTGTGTGTGTGTGTGTGTGTGTGTGTGTGTGTGTGTGTGTGTAGGAGGCGATGTGGGGAGCAGGGTGGCGGCGCCGGGTCCAGCCCTGAGGAGGCGTCCTGCGGCTGGGAGGAGCGCGGCCCTCCTCTGGCCCCCCTGTGGAGCTCCGGGGCGCTCACACTAAGATGTCCCTCAGCAGCGGCCCTGCAGGCGGGAAAGGAGTCGACTCCAACGCGGTGGACACGTACGACAGCGGCGACGAGTGGGATATCGGAGTGGGAAACCTAATAATCGACCTGGACGCCGACTTGGAAAAGGACAAACTGGAAATGTCGAGTAGTAAAGAGGGAGGAGGCATGGCGGCCCCCCCACAAAGCGCCGTGGCTACTTTACCGGAAAATATAAAGTTCGTTAGCCCTGTAGCCGCCGTGGCCGCTCAGGGAAAAGAAAGCAAATCCAAATCAAAGCGTAGTAAAAACTCTAAAGAGAGCGTGAAGGCGCCGGGACCAGACGCCAAGAAGGAGGTTCTGGTTCCCCCGCAGAACTCAACCCCTACGAAGGGAACGGACAAGTCAAATAAACCCTCCCGCACACCCCCCGCGGTGAAAAAAGACAAAGACGGGGTGTCGGGGAAAGCTAAGAAGGAGAAAATGGAGGCGGTGGTTGTTTCTGTTAACGCAGAAAAGGAGGTTCCAGTCCCTCGCAGCGGACTTTCCTTCGAGGGACAACTGATCCCGGATCTGTCTGCCGTCGAGCAGCAGATCGGGAACGTGAGTCTGGACTCGGCGGGCATTGGACAGCCCGTCGCCATGACGACAGAGCAGCAGCAGCAGCAGCAGGAGGAGGAAGTGGACAACGGGGAGTGTCGAAGTCTGAAGAAAGTGGGCGGAGTGAAGGTACGAGGATTTCTTTTATTTATATTTTTATGTCGTTTCATATTCGCTGTGTTACTGCCTGTGTGTACATCAACAACACACACACACACACACACACACACACACACACACACACACACACACACACACACACACACACACACACACACACACACACACACACACACATGGACACACACATGACACACACACACACACACACACACACACGCACACA